CTGACTTCCACATTCACATGAACAAGTGTAAACCAACACTTCACCATTTCCCCTTGATGGTGATAAATGGGATCAAGAGAGAAAAGAATTGAAGCATGTCGTTTTTCTAGCTACAGGTAACCCTCATTAGCCCAGAGGCCAGCTACGCCAGCTTCTTTTACATGCCGTTTTGGGGCATTTGTACAACCAGGGGAGAGAAAAAAGGGATCTCTTACAGTTTTGTTAGGATAGAAACAGTCTTCACTGCAGGTATTTCCAGTGAAAGCCCCACCGTAGAGAATCTCCTCTGTGGAGATTAGCAGGAGGCCCGGGGTCCCGCTGGGATCCATTTCAACACGTTATTAGAAGCTGTCATTCATTCTGCCGCTACACAAAATGCAACTCATGCCATTACCAACTGATTGGATACAGGCAATAAACAGCTTAAAGATCAGGGCCAGTCTCCGTGGACAAACTTGCATGTAACTTTAGTGAGGTCTGGTGCTGCTGCAGTGGCTTGGCCTGAAACCTTTAATAACTCCCAACAAAACTCTTTGTTCACAACAGCCTCTGGATTTTCTGCCTGTCTGCTGTTTGAGACAGTTTTTTATTTCATAGTTTTTACTGCTGGGATACACGTTTATAAAGGATTTATAAGATGTAACTAGTGGATTTTGGGCCCACTGGTAGGTTGGTTATGGCTTTCTCTCTTGCTAATAAGCCATCCTTTCTTTAATCGCATTAATCATTCATGAATTACAACTCACGGTATAAACCCTCTGTGAGTAAAAAAGCACCCGACAATAAGAACAATAACATTAATGCCAAACTGACTGACTGACCTACCAGCTAAATATTATTGTATTGCTTAATATACTTGAATCTCTGCTCTTTCAGTTTAATCCTATCAAATCAAACAAATCCAACATATTCATACTATCATTATTTTTGTCATGTGACCAGTAATAAGTAATAAATATGAGATATACAATATTTTATGCTGTTTACTACGCATTAACATAGTAAAAGGAGTATTATGTTTTAATAAAATATAGTTAGCTGCAATACATCTTCAACAGATCGAAAACTAAATTCAGTGCATATAGCAATAGCAGGACAATGTAGAAAAAACTGTAACTTTTCACACAGACACGTCAGTAACAACAGCCACAGCTGGCTTTCATGTAACACATGTATGAGGGTCCAATGGACAACACGGGACTCTTATCTGAAAATGTTTCACTGTGGCACGACACTAGTGCTCTGATAGTCCTACTTCACACACAAAGCCCACTAGTATTCACATGACAAGGAATGTTGGATCATGGCCAAGTTGGACATACCCACCTGCATCATTTACATGAGCCTGCACTACAGAATGTAATGTCATATAATGCATTAAGTCATTCATTTGAAGTTATACTTCCAAAATCTACTTTTGAGTATCAGTGCTGGGAGTACTCATTCAGTGTCTACACTGGCTCAGATATTTAAAGTTCACAGTACCGCTGAACGGCTTTTCAGAGTTCACAGCCCAGCACACAATACAGCAAAAATACCAGGGTATACACACATTCATACTTCTTCCTGCTGTGCAAACCCACAGCCACTGGAAAACATTGGAACTGACATGAATTGAAGCTGTTCTCTACAAAGTTAAGGGAGCAAATGTTTTGGATGGAGCTTCACCTTGGTGTCGTTCCAGGGCACTAATCCCTGTCTTTAACATGATGAAAGTTAAAGTTTAATACTAGAAGATTACTATGCAGGTTCTCTGCAGCACACCATCCTCATCTGTTGCATTATTGTTCACTTTGCAAATCAGATACTTAATTCCATCACTCTAAAGAAAAGCAGAGCCTGCGCCTGTGCAAACTGAACATCAGACTGTTCGTGACTATAAACCTTACAGCAATTCGACCGGTCTAATCTGCACGTCACAGCAGAAACGCGAAGGCCCCGTCAAATTAAATGGCTGACTTTCATGGCCTCAGGCCACAGCAGTCAGACAGAGATGAGCTGGAAAAGCAAAAGCACTTCAACTCTGATTAAGTATTCATCAATCAGAGGAATTAAATTCTTTTACTCAGGTTGCAGAGGTTCCCATCTATAAAACAAAGGGTTTTTGTCTGCAGAGGGAACAGAATGAGGTTAAATTCGAGAGTTTTGGTAAGATTATACGTGTTCCTCAACAGTCCTCAGAGTCATCATTCTCACTCCTGTCTTGTCTCAACCTGAAACCTGCCAGGTTGTGACTGTGCAGAGAGCGGTAATACATTCCAGGCATACCATGGGGTCAGGGGACTGGAAGAGCCAATAGGTGGCCAGCTGACTGCCCAGTCCCTCCTCCCTGCTACAGCAGAGAACAAAAAAGCCCTCTCAGGAAAAAAAAACCTCTTGGAGACCTTAAATGGGGTGATTCAAAGAGAATGGGAGTGGAGAGGTGAATACCCTGTACAAATTGGCCTCAGGTAGCTTCTAGATTCTTCAGGTGCGGCCCTCCCACAACCAAGTTGGTCTACTAATTAGTCATATACACCCCCCCCCCCCCCCCCCCCCAGTTCAAAATAATTTTTTTAAATTGCTTCAGCCGAGCCAAGATACACTTCTAGATTCAGACTAATTGGATAATAGTCTGCATCTTAAGAGGTTAAGAAAAATTTTTTATTGCACTCACTTAATTGCACAACTGGGAGTGGAAACCTTCTGCCTTGACTTTTATCTTAGACTCTGTCTGACTAATGCACGCACAAAAGGACAGCCTCTTGGAAACATGTACATGTTCATCATGTCACGACTGGTTTATATGCCAAGGTCTTGCATTTTTTAAATATTCACACTCCAGCTCGCACCAGTAATGAGAAAACCTGTGAGAAACAGCTCTGTGGTGCAGTGAGACAAATCTGGGGCCACAAAAGAAGCCAGACGACACAGAGGAAACAGACAGGACTGTAAAACCAGCCCAAACATGGGACACACTATCAGGACGTTGTTACTGTATATGTCTTAACAGAATCACAGAGTACACGCACAGCGAGGTCTGAGTACGGAAAGACTGTCTTTAGTGAGCATTGGTGTCTCCACAGATTACAAGCTCAGGCTGATGGAGAGGACACAGGTGAAGCAGGAGGCACTGCTGAAGGAAAAACACATACTACACTTGACACATTTCACAAGACACATTTTTTTTCTCATGAAATTCAGAATAAGTGGGAGAGGGTCACAACCACACCGAAGGGGAACGTTTAACAACTGTACGCTAAATAGGAACCTACAGCCAGCAGCAGGGCAGGTTCATGGTGAGTTAGTGTCAAATATATATCCTTATAAAACAGAACTGCAGCTGACCAATGAGGCTTTTTACAGACTGTTTTTCCCTATAGGCCTTAGAGTCTCATTACCACAGCCATGTGCTCCCCTTCTTGGGTTGCAGTCTGTGGACAGTGACTCCCTCCCTCTGGGGACAGGGCCATGATGGCACATTGATCTTGTGTCAGATGGACACTGCTATCAGTTCTATTAACTGGGGAAAATCTCTGCACTGCACATCAATCCACCCGTTCACAGAGTAGGCAGATAAGCCGTACACGCAGATTCACTTCACTGGGAGACAAGACAGAGGAAGTGGGCCCTTGTTTGCAATTTTCTTCCTGCAATATTCTTCAAAGCAGAACGAGGACACAGATAACAAGTTATGAACATGCTGTGTGATCATGGATGCGGAAGGATGGGGGGGGGGGGGGGGGGGGGGGGGGTACGGCGGTAATTGGCTGAGGGAAATCCTACCCTAAACAATGATACAGTTTGAGGAGCTTTCATTATAGACAGGAAAGATGCACAAATTCTTGTCCTCGAACATGAACTAGTCCTAAAAAAAAAAAAAAAGCATTTACTTTTATGTAAATCCTCCCAAACACTGTTAAATCCACACGAGCATTCATGTCATTGGTAATAACAACCTACGAGTGTTACAGGCCAATGAACACCTTTACTGCGAAACACAAGCTCACTTGTGTCTTAGGTGAATGTAATAGCCTGAGGATAGGTGGAATGAAAGTAGAGCAGGCTATGTCAGGACTTTCTGTGCATTCCTTCCACGCTGCCTGGATATGTTCACTGAACTCCTAAATGCACAGTATTAATACTTAATTTTCCCATGGCATAATAACATTGAGTCACTTTAGAAGCTACAGCCCAGACAAGCCCCCAAGCTGCTGTACAGTTCACCTGATGCAGCTGTTTCACCCGCAGCTATACAGTCCAGTTCAAAGAGGTGTGTAATGGGAATTATGACGTATCTCATTCAGCCATGTATGCATTTTTAACAAGAGGAGTCAGTCAAGGTTGGGGAAAAGATTGCTGCAGTGATTGAATGGTAGATGAAGGACAGAAATGTCAAAACAAGAGAGAGAGAGAGAGAGAGAGAGAGAGAGAGAGAGAGAGATTCGCGTAAAACTGAAACACTCAGTTTGACGTCTGTTTGACGTCTGATGACTGAAATGCACGACGTACTAACTTTATTCATAATGACCCAGGTAACAACCTCCGACGGGCAAATTACAGCGATTCCTCCTCTCTTACGACAGAGACACAAAAGGCTGCAGAAAACATATCTGACACATTTTGATTTGTATTGTCTCTGAGGATATAGGCCTAAATACATCCGCAGGGACTTGAACCGCTCCGGTATAACAGGTGGACTTCAGGAACTACTTTTCGTGGAGAAAAGGAAAGTGTGTGATGCGAAGTAAACCCTCCGAAGCGTTTAAGGAGTGTGTGAAGTGCAATTTACAAACGGGAGATATAGGTGTTAAAACGCAACATAAAAGGCTGTACACTCCAAAGGCTTCATCGCGGGGTTTTTAGCTCAGTGAGCGGACACAATGGTTGTTGTTTTTTTTCGTTACGCCTCCCGGTCTAAAGCAGGTGCGCAGCCGGTTTGACTGCGGACATTATTTTAACCTCTGAATTAAAAAAAGAAGTGGAGTATTTGTCTTTGACATGCGCAGCTGGTGACTTACAGGTATTTTTTGGAGCCCCCCGTCTGTTGATGCAGAGCGACTGAGAATCCAAAGAAGCTCCCTTTGGTTTTCCCCTCTTTGATCACAGGAAACCGTTCATCTACATTAAATCCGGTGCAGGTTGGCGTCCCCTGGTACACAGCCAAAACAGCGCAGAGTAACAGTCTCGGAGACATTGTTTAGGCTGTTTTTGCCTCCTAAGTGCAATGGGCTTCCCGCAGATCCACGATCAGCGTGAGTCCGGCACGGCACTCTCCCGCACTGAGCTCCAACAGGTAGACTGCTGCTTCACTGAGACCTCCCCATTGAGAGCCGCCTGTGCCCCCTCGCACTCAGAGTGTTACTGCCGAGGTGTCGGTGTCTGCCTCCCTCTGCCTCCCCCTGCTGCCCTCCCTTGCTCTCCCTTCCTTCCTCGTCGCCCTCCACACCCATTTGAAACAAGTGCACTTCATCGCCTCAGCATTCAGTCCGTGGATCTGCGGTTAGCCGTGTGAAACCGTCGTCTCTCTCTTTCTCCCTCCCTGTCTGCTTCTCTGTTTCTCACACGCACATTTTCCACCTGTTGAAGCTCTGAACTCACACTGGAAGGCAACACAATAACTACAACTGAAACTATTATTGATGAGCGTATTTTGTCAACAATATATTGAAAACAATGCTGGAAATAATGCATCACAATGCCACTGACAGGAGCATGTACAGTAAAGCTTGTTGTAAGCTACCATATGAAGTTACTGTTTGCAGGGTAACTCTGTACTGATGGCTATTCATTGTATACAACATCTGACTTTTTGGAAGCTTAAGTTTAATGTAAAAAAACAAACAAACATTAATTTTCTTTCAATTTTTTGCTTTATTAGCAACATCAATTTAAACAACAATTTAAATGTAAATTCACATCATTACATGTTACATGTAAGAAACATCAGGACAGAGATAGATTGTGGGAAAGTGTCTCCTACTCAGAAATATTAAACTCAACACCTTCAAGAAAAAGCACTGAGAAGCTTTTTTTAAACTGAATTATCAATGTTTTAATTGAGTTACCTCAGTGCAGGATATTTGATGTAGGAGGGTCTATATCATGGGAGTCAGCCCCCCTGATAAAAGACTTCCAAGCCCACTAATAGACGCATGGCCCGCCCTCACATGAGCACTCTTGTGACAGCAACCTCCCCCCCTGCTCCCCTGCCTATCGCTCGAACTTCTGGCTTCCAGTGGGCAGTTCATTAAATCCTTAATCCCCTTAGAGAGTTCAAGGAACAGGCCAGAGTTTTTAAAAGTATCCTTTCCTTTCCATGAATCCCCCTCTGTGCCCACTTTTTCTTTTTTTGCCCTGTCTTTCTTTGGAACCCCCTGGTGTCGAGAGACCAACTGCAGCTCCCTCTCCTCCCCGTTCGCTTGTATCTCCACAGACAGTGTGCGATCTTTCATCATGTCGGCTTTATTGGCTGACTCCTAACTAAAATCTGGCATCTCTGACCTCTTCTAATTGATGAGCTGAGCTCCCACTCTGCATCTCACCTCACGCTCTCTCCTCCATCCCAAGTGAAATAATGTCCAATGGGGAATGTAGTTCACTGTGCACATTCCACTGACTAACTGCAAATGCTTTCTGTGTGCTTCTAGAAACACTGCCTTCTGTGTTAAGAGGGATTGATGCTCGTAAACACGTTCTGCTCAGGTGTTTCTGTTTTAAAGTTGTCATTATATGGGACCCAACCTTTTGATTCCAGGAAACAAAAAGTATGTATATAACAAAACAAAGTGAAAACACACAGAAATCAGCAGGTAGGAGTGGAAAACAATACAAATCTTCCTTATAATTTAATGACCCTGGATTGTACATGTGAACTCCTTTTCTTAGTTAATCCAGGCTTAAACTTTGTGTCATCATTTCACATGTTATCATGCAAGTGAATGCTTTTCAGCCCAAAGGTGAGCGCACAACATGCCAATGTATACAGTGTCAACATCCTGTTGTGTTCTTATCAAGGCATGCATCTGGCACAGCACTGACACTGAACAGATCCTTGCGATTGTACAAATAAAGACAGATCTTGGCTGCCCTGACTCGGCACTAGACAAATGTCTTGAGAGACATTAGCAGAGGGGAATTTAAAGCAACCAAACCACAATAGAAGAGCAATCTGACCTCCCCACTTATTTCGTTCTGTGTGACCGGTTCTCATGCAGAGTACCTGATCCTTAACCCCTCTAGGTCTTAGACCCACCCATCAACAACTGAAAAGTGTCACTCTTGAAAAGTGACAAGGGATACTGACGAACAATGTTCTTCTCTAGAGTAGTGTAGTTCCACGAGGCATGTAATTGCAGTGTAAAACACTGTTATGGCTCTATACTCATACTAGACCTGCTTAGTAATCAGAAAGTACCAGAATCTGTATCTGATAACTTTTCACACAAGAGTAGAGTTCCCTTTCAGTCCCTGCCCAGAAGAGAGAAAAAAAGTCCCAGTTCTGGCCTTTAACTGTGTATTCCCCAGACCCAACTGTAAACCAACACCAGCCATGGGGACAAAGACCCGAATGCAGTTGCTGCTGCCCTCGGAGTCCTCTCTGCTCTGGAACCTTCCAGTCTTAGCCCACACGACACACATGGAATGTAATTTGCAATTTATCTCCCAGTTTCCTGTTTTTTTCCTTACCAAACCCACCACCATCCTCCCCCATCACCATACACCCTCCTCCTCCTCCTCCTCCTTCTCCTCCAGTTCTTATTATTCCAAGGATTTTCTTTCGGCCTCACAATATCCACAATTTAATTGAGTAGGTTAATCCTACATAATTATAACATGTTCCTGCTCAACTTTCCTGCTGCATTGTGGTCCGTCGTATATGGCGAATGGCTCCTCAGAGTCCTCTCAAGGCATCCTTTGAAACGGAGGGCTGATGGGATGGGGTGGGTGAGTGGGATGCTATGTGGAGCTCCTGATGTGAATGTGTGATAACAGAAATGGACATGCTATTGTAGAGCACTGTGGAGAAAGCAGAGCGTCAGTATGTCCCATTATAGTCCCATTATGCTTATCTTTGCTAAAATTACACAAAAATCTTCAGCCAGTGGGTTGGAAAAGAAAAAGAAGAAATCAATGTGGGAACCGCACAGTACAGCCTTTTAATCATGAAAATAAACCAGGCATCAAAATAACTAGATGTCAGCTCAGCATTGAATTTCCATGAATATTAATCCACATTAGCTAAACTTGACATACAGAGCAGGACATTGGTTGAATTTGAAACACAGCACGCTCTCACGCCGAGTCCTTGCTGCACAGCGACGACAGAGCCAGCCGTTGCCATGGAGCTGGGAGTTGCTATGAAGCCAGTATGTTCTGAGTGGTGGTAGCGTCTGTGGAGGAAGACAGTGTGGTCTGTTTAAACTCCAGCCAGGACTCTTGCTGGGCTCAGATGACCTTTCACAGGAATAAAACATGATCTACTCAGTATCTGTCCACTAAAGCAGGAATTAACCACAGAAAGATACGTACATTTACATACATGCACACAGCAATATGCATCTTTATAGCAACATTGGACCTAATATGTTGGTGCTATATAACAACTGGCCTGATGTTATATGATATCTCTCCATAATGTTCCATAAGTCTCTGTTTCATGACTTCTCGAGGTTGCTGAGCATTTGTTCTCCCAGTGTTTGCATACATGTGTACAGTATAGACATAATGTGTGTGTGTGTGTGTGTGTGTGTGTATGTGTGGAAATATCTGTGAGCATATGTTCACATTTGTTCATCTGGGTGTGGGGGCTGTATGGCAGCATCCACATGTGCGTGTACTTGGAGTGTTTGGTGTGTGTTTGGTGTGTGTGTGTGTGTGTGTGTGTGTGTGTGTGTAGCAGGAAGGAAATGCAGCAGGGGTTTGAGACCCACACAAGGTCTTGCTGTTCGTCAGGTCTCCAGTTCATGCTTATGTGGAGGAATGTATAGCCCAAGGTGGAAGGCGTGGCTCCGAACACTCTCCCACTGTCCAGTGACACCTGTTTTTCAGCTTAGCTTTCATGCAGACAGATAGAGTGATGGGAGACAGCAGGGCATAGTCACTGTGTGGTGGAAACAAAAACAGCTGTTACACAAATTCATGTAATAAATGTAATACCCCAGGCATGACAATGAGCTTTCCACGGTTTGTTTTTCTTTTTGTTCAGGGAATAATTTGACAATTTGGAAATGAGCTCATTTCTTGCCAAGAGTTAGATGAGAAATTTGATACCATACTCATATCTTTGCTAAATATAAAGCTACAGCCAGCAGCCTAGCTTAGCCTTAGCTTAGCTTGGCAGAAAGACTGGAAACAGTGGGAAACAACTCGCCCAGTTCTGTCCGAAGGTAACAAAATCAGACTACCAGCACTTTTCAAGCTGACCAGTTAACATGTTATGTATTGCTTGTCTAATCTGCACAAAATCCAAACTGCAAAAATGGCAATTTTACAAAGGATTATGTGCCAAACTTTTTCTTGGCTGTAAGCGGGGACTTCCTGGCAACCTCACAATGTCAAGACTCCAGGACAACAAACAAGAAATAACTTACGAATTAGTGAAGTACAGACGTGCTGGTATTAATTGATTTTGTTATCTTCAGACAGAGCCAGTGTAGCTGTTTTCCCCTGTTTCCAGTCTTTATGCTAAGCTAGGTTAACTGACTGCTGGCTGTGACTTTCAGTGCAGACATGAGAGATAGCGGTATTGATCTTTCTTTAGAACTGTCAGGGAGAGCTTCATTGGAAACTGTTTGGAAAGTGCAGGTACTTTCAAAAGATACTTGGCAGGTGATTTAGTAGGAGAGCACTGAAGAGGAAACAGAACAAATAAACCGCAGTCTGAGGAGCTTTGAAAGCTAGTTAGCATGTCGGTAGAGGAAGGAAAATGAGAATAGAAGGCACTTACACAAATACCAAAATATTCGCTTCCCCAAAGCTGCCAGGAGTTCCTTCCTTATAGGACGCTGATTGGTCCAAACTGCTGTGGTTCTGCTTGTGAGAAATCCAGCTGCCTCACAAGGTTAAACAAGTGTTATGCCAGAAAGTAATGTTCAACAACCCACAACATCAAAACATTTAAAAAATGTTGGAGGTCATTTTATAACTTGCTAGAGATGCACTTAGAGTTGAGCAGTTCATTCCTCCAGCGGCCCCTCGTCAGTTTTCAAAGCACAAATCACTGGCAGAAAAGAAAATTACAAACAATAATAACAACCTTTTGCAAAAAAAAGTCCTTCTCTTTCTGGAAACATTGCAT